GCGGGGGACGGAAGCGTCAACTCGGCGGCCCGGGGTGGGCGGCGGGGGAGGGTCGGGGCGGGGCGTTTCGGGAGGGCGGCGGCCGCCGCTGCGACTTTTGAAGTCCAAACAGTCGTCGGGGCTGGTGCCGCGCGCCGCCTCTGGTCGCCCTCTCCACCTCCCGCGCTCTGCCGGGCTGCCGGTGTCCCCGAGGACCCGAGGGCTTTTTCGGGACTTTAGAGAAAGCTACGTCTTTAAGTTCTTTTGGGTTCGAAACTTTACAGAACTACTGAGCGCAACAAAGGGAAAGAGAACCCGGGCGTCTCGCAGCTGAAGAGAGGCAGGGGCGGCGGGCCGGACGCGCGCGGGACCCCAGACTCTCCACGCACCCACCACGTCTCTGTCTCTCCCCGTTTCCCTCCTAGTTCTGGAAGGGATGGAGGAGGCGGAGGCCGACTGCGCCCTAGCGTTCGCCGAGGCCCAGAGATGGGTGGAGGTGAGTGCCTTTACTTCTCTCCTTTCCGCACGAGTAGGCGGCCCCAGGGCCGCTCCCGCCACTCTGCTTTCAGCCGCCTCCCTCGACCTTCGCGGGCGCAGCGCGTCGGGTTGGTTTGCGCGTGCAGTTTGAGGGACTTAACAAGTTCTGAGCCTCCTATCATTTAATGTCCAGCGAAGCTTCGCGCTGCCCTCCCCACGACGGTTTCGCTGGCTCTCCCAGAACTCCTCTTTCAGGGCAGAATGGAGAGCTTGGCCTTCCGGCTTTACAGACCGCGCATCCCTGTGGACCAGCCCACGTCCGCACCAGGACGCCCAGAATGTCTCAGCAGGGCAGAGGCGGCCCAGGGTCCTGGGGTGCGTTTCTTTGGGTGTGGCTAGAAATGGAGATGCCTAAAACACACCTGCACGGGCGTGTATTAAGTGTATGCTGTGTGGTAGGGCGGATGGAAGAGGTTAGACACCTGTGGCGCACCTGGAGAGATACTTTCTCAGAGGCAGCATCCGGAGCCCAGGGGGTGGGAGTCAGGGCAGATACTTTTTCCAAAGTAAACTTTGATGAGATAAGACTAAGCTGTCCTAGGATCACTCATTCAAGGGCTGTTACTTTCCCAGCTGTGCCTCAGAGAGGAGATCTTCCATTCTTCTCTTTCCCATTAAAAAGGAGATGGTGTCTTGGAAGTTCTTCATCAACGCCTTAGGGTTACGTTTAGCCGTAGAAGATTAACACCAGGACTTCAAGCCGTTATTCCACTGGATGAAAAGAACGACTTTTATTATGCTTTAAGATAAATTTTCTTGTTTTAATAAATATTAGTAAATATTCCTGATTTGATTGGACAATCCAAAGTGGAAAAATGAAACTTGACCCTTATGAAATGAAAAGTGACTTTTAAAATGATGCTAAAGAAGCCTTCTGAGCATATGAGAGGCAGGAACCATTGCTTGTTAACAAAGTATTGCCTTTACCAGCTCTTCAGTCATGTAGGTGTTATTGATGCCACATGCTGGTTTATTCAACGTATGTAAAAATTCAAATTTGGATTAAAGATTATTCCAGGGGGAAAAACAACATATTCAAGAACCCCAAAGCAAACAGTATTTTAAAATAATTCATTTCTTCTTAAAGAAATAAATGCATATATGCGGGAAAAAGAGAGTACACTTTCAATGTTACATTTCTCACACTAAAGGAAATTGGATTTATCACTACCCTCTAGGTAGTGAGGGGGTAGGTCTAAGAAATCAGCTTTGGTGTCTTTTTATACTGAAACTTTGAGCTGGTTTGAAGGTGACTTAGAAAGGTGTGAGGGGAGGGGAGAGGGAGGTTGGTAGGAGAATAAACACTGTATTCTGAATTGAAATGAGAGTGGAAAAATTCCAGCAATGTAGTTAAGAGAAATAACTTCCCCCATTCACAAACTTTGAAAAGTCAAGGCTTCCAAAGGTAATTTTCCATTAGCAGTGTGTGTTCTGCATAATTCTAGAAAAGAAATTAAACTTGCCCTTCTGTGTTTGTGTTGGGGATGGAGAGAGGGAGGAGGGAAGAAATACCGGGACCCTTTTTCAGTCAGACAGGGCTCCTGTGTGGAGTTTGTATCTACATGTTCTGTATTTGCTTCAGGAAATCTGTGATTATGGCTGACTTCACATCCTTTCTTTTTTTAGTACACAGATTTAAAAAATCTAAACATTCCTCATCTGTGATAGCTTACTTATAAGTGGGTGAGATTTCTGTGAGAAATTTGTATCTACTAAACTCTGAGAATGTGTGTTGTGATAAAAGACATCACAGTGTGCGGTAAATGCCTGACTTCCCCTCCCATCCCACTCCGTCCAAGTGTTTATCAGCAATGATTTGGCAACTCTGTAAAGTGTCTTGTTCATCATTAGCAGAAAGTTGAATCTTTCTAAAGGCTTTGCCATATTTTAATATAGCTAACTCTTATGAAATTAAAATTAAGTGACTTATCCAGGTGCCCCCAGAATAAAAAAAATGAAGTGACTTTTTTCCTAGTGCCACAGGGAGCGAGGCAGTACATTCACTGATGATATGTGAATAATTTACATATTCATGTATACTTTTGGTGTACTCGGGACATTGAAGTGACAATGTTGTATTCGCTGTTGGGTTTATTTTATTTCTCCAGTGAGTGTCCAAATTTATCTGTCCTCAGCTTTGCCTTTACAACCAAAGCACAGATTCAAAAATACTGTTCTTACCAAAAGAAGCAGAGTGAACAACTCTCTCATCGCCACAACCTCTTAACTCTGAGAGCCCCTAATTTGAAGATAAAATATTGATTACAAGGGGGTATTTTATAAAGTATTTTGGAAATTGAGGAAGATTATAGTGTAAATCTTTCTCCTGCTTACCAATGTTCTTGCTTCATTTTTCCATTTTTATCATACTTTCCTCTGCATGCATTGAACCACAAGTGAGTTAGTTATATATATGTACTTATCTATATGCATATAATACACACATATAAACATATGTATTAGTATATTATTCACATGCATTTATGTATAAGCATATAATATAGGTATATAAACATATGTGTGTTAGTATATACCGTAATATACATTTATATGTATTATATGTAATATACATATAATACAATTTGCTACCTTTATTCTCAGTTGCAGCTTTGACTAGCCCAAGGTAAAAAAAAACTCCAATAACCTTGTAAAACTGAAAAATGACCAGAGTCCACGTTGATATGTCCTTGCCATTTCCAGTCTCCATCAGCAGTTTTTAAATAGCTAATGTCTTTTTCCCACAACCAAAGTTGAAGTCTTACTTGTTTTATTTTTCGGAGGAGGAGAAGAAAGGGTGAAGTGAGGACCAGTACTTGTCGTTCTGCCAATTATGGTCATTTTATGACTCTTCTTGTGTATTTCAAGTTTTACTTAGAAATTTAAGTGTGTGTGTATATATATTTCTCCTTAGTTTCTTATTTGAAATCAAAACAAATGTAGGAATGTGACCTTTTAAGGTAATTCAACATAGTGATATTGGATTATTATCTGGTTGGAAATGTGGTTTGGAATATTAATAATGTAGCAAGCTGGTTTATGATTAAACACTGGTTTAAAACCAAATAATGTAATGGTTTGAAGGCAAAGGGAGAGGGGAAGCTTGTTTCTAGCAAGGTCATGGAGTAGGAGATGAAGTGGTAGCAAATGCAGCTTGGATGCTCTGATTTTAGTCCTTTTATGCAGCACCTTTTAATTTTCTGTACCTAATAGTTGTCTCTGTTTCTGTGTTTAGGGGCATTTAAAAGCCTTGTCATAACAAAATACCAGTGAGATTGGGAAACTAGGTATCTTGCTTATTGCATTGGTTGGTCACCCATTTCCAGTTTGTGAGTTAATGTGCCTATCCAGGTTCAAGTTTGAACATGGTAGTAATTTTCATGACTGGAACAGAACAGACTAACGATTCGCCACCTTCCTGTTATCTCTGGGTTCGATATTTCATTATCACTGTCACCTTGTAGAAGGACCTAAGGGATGCCAACTTGAACTCATTGCCAAGCCTGGAACCAGAATATGGGTCCCTCCCAGTTACTTCC